TATTAAAAATAAATATTTATAGTATTTTTAGCTCCAAAAGATACAGGACTTGCTACCATCCCTCTGGGAATAGAGAGATAAGTAGATAAGGTGTTTTTTTATTTATTTTTTAATGTGTAGCAGTGTATTGCCTGCATGTATGTGAATACACCCATGTCATGCAATGCTGCGGAGGTCAGAAGAGGGCCTCAGATTCCCCTGGAACTGGAGTTAAGGATGGTTCATAGCTGCCATGTGGGTGCTGGGAATCGAACCTGGTCCTCTGCAAGAGCAGCTAGTGGTCTTAACCGCTGAGCCATCTCTCCAGCCCCAGGTTTTAATTTTCTATTTATATCCTTATTTTAGATAGTATTAAAATCACTAAAATAAGTCACTAAAATAAGAAAGTTACTTCTGCTTAAACTTCTCTAGAGCCTAAATATCTTTTTCTCCAGTGGCCTAGGTAACAGCTGCACCCACTCCTCACACAGTGGCCCCACCCCTCACATACGTTTCCATTCAGTAGTCCCAACCCCCTCATTAGTACACAGAAGCCCTGTGGACCACTCATGAACACATAACAGTCCCACCCCTCACATGAACACACACTGCCCTGCCCTTCACAGCAGCCCTGATCCTCACACAAACACAGTTTCTCCTCACCTGGAATAGTTTTTCCTTCATGTACATGGTGCCATAGCCTTCTCGTTGGCTGAGGTAAAATATGCCCGTGAAATTGGAGCCATCGGGCCATGTGTAGGTACCCACACCGTGGCAATGATCCCGGTAAAACTGCCCGCAGTAGGCCTATGAACGAAGAAGTCAGTGGGTCTCCTTTCTGGGAGAAGTCACTCCCCTCAGGTACCCCAGCTCTGCAGGGACTCAGGAAGCTGGGCCACCACACCTCATTAGCAGTGAATGACAGGTCTACAGGGCACTAGGCTACAAGGCCTCTTTCAGTCCAGGTGGCCAATGTGATTAATGGAGTTGGTCACTCAAAGCACCCAGAGGGGTCATCAGGCAGCCAGCCTTGTGCACGAGCTTGCTCTCCCTGCCCTCTGCTCCAGTGGGAACTGTGGGATGTCCAGAAGCGTGTGCCATGACTGTCTTAGGAAAGTGTGGCACTGCTTCTCCCTGGGAACATGGTGGGGCCAGCACCCCTATAGGTCTGGCAGACCTTCCCCATTCGGAGTCCTGGCCTTACCCTAGAAATTTCTCTATCAGGTCACAGAGGCCAGACTGGCTGGAGGTAACTTGCTGAAAGGAAGCCTTGGACCTGGCTGGGAACAAGGTGGAGCCGACATAACTCCTCCATTCGGGGTCCCATGATGCACAGGTGAACCTATGTGCTCCTGTCCTGAGCCCTTCAGATGGATGTATGAAGCCGGCACACTCTGAGGTCATGGCAAAGGAAAGGAAGGGGCCTCACCTCCCTCAGGCACTGCACTTGACCCGCACAGTTAGATGGAATCTCCCTCCTCAGAAGAGGCTGAAGAGGAGTACTCAGTCAGCCAGACAGAACATTTGACACAAGCGTCCTGGCAACAGAACCCGTCTTCTCTGCAGAGATGAGCTTGGCCAGTTACAGCCTGTATTCGGATGTGGACACACCTGTCCCTAAGCCACAGCTGCATCCTACTGGAGGCTTCCTATTCCAGGAGCATATGTGCCCTACTCCAGGGGCTGCCAGGTGACAGGTCATTCTTGGGAGGGTCTTACTGGGTCATTCAAACCCCTGGATCCAGCCTAGCCTGAGGCTATACCACCCTGGACTTTTAATCCCAAGAGCCAGGAGCCACAAAAGGCCCTTTCCGTCCAGCTGGACTGAGTTTGCATTGTTAGTGACAGTAAGGTCCATGTAAGGACACCCAGAAAGCAGGGAGGTGGCCAGGCAGGGTGTCACCCTTCTGCCAACATACACTTGATTTATAGCCACTGCAGTGGCCACCAGAAAGTCCAGCCAACCCCAAAAGAATTCTGAGTTGCAAATGGACGAACTAGGTTGCCAGGGCCACTATAGCTGCAGCTCCTCACACGCAAGCTTCTGTCGTCCTCAGAACACAAGGCTGAAAAAGCCCATCTGTCTTCTCTACCCCACTGCCAGGTCACCTCAGGTCAGGTTCTGACGTGGCTGCAGCCAGTGTGCTCAAGGCCAGGGCCAGAGAAGAGCATGTTCTCTTGCCCTCTGGTTCGTGAGGACAAGTGTCTGCCCTATGGACACAGAAGTCCCTACCCTGGCAGAATCGAAGCAGACCTCCACCTAGATATAGATACTGGCCTGCTGTGTTCTCCCTGCCCTGGAAGGGACATGGGGCAGAGAGGACCCTGAGACATGACCTGTGAACATGCAATGAACAAGTCCCCCAGCCAAGGACTCAAGACAGAAGCACACAGGTATCACCGCTGTCATAGCACCCAACACTGGCTCCTGATGTCCCTGAGCTTGTGCTCCCACTCAGAGTGTTGGAGGACTCCTGTCTTTCCTCCCACCCCTAGACCCCACTTGTCTCCAGGCTCTCTCCTGGTCTTTTCCTCACCCCTGCTCTCCTTGGGCAAGTAAACCTCCAGTGACTCACGCCCCCCTCTGCACAACACCCCTGCTCTGAAATGCTTCCACTAAAAAGAGTAGCATGCCCACTGTTGTCCTGCTCCAAGTCACAGCTGCCCGGTGGGCAGAGTCTCCTGACTGGAAATGGCTCATGGGACTTTGAAACTGAAGTTGTGCCCATTCCTTCTATTGTCTCTTGAACAAACTGGGAAGACTCAATGCAGAGGGAGGGACTGGACCTGGTGATTCCAACCTTGGGCACCAAGTCATAGAAAACCTCGCCAGAGGCAGAGTCATACATGGAACAGGGGGCAGAGCAGGAGTCCAGGACCCCCTCACACACACCATGACAGCAACACCTGCCTGGAATGGCTGCAGCCCAGGGCCCCGGGCTGCCCGAGATGCTTCCCTACACAGCCCACATGCAGTATTGCCTTCTGAGGGCTCAGGTGAAACTACACCATGTTCAGACAATGCCAGGGCAAAACCCCCTACCCAGGTACAGGTGATGGGAACACATAACAATGAGAAGTTGTTGAAGCTCTGCATTCCTGGGGAGCCTGTTAGGCCTCCAGACGCAGCACATACCCAGCTTGGCTGCACACTGAGACATTACACTTGGCCAGTAACATGGCAAGACATAAACAGATTTGGCTGTGGGCCCCAATTTGGGTCCCTCATTCCAACAAGTCTCCACTGAGTGGATAGCCGGATGGAGTAAGGGGATAGATGTGTTTCCATTTTATCATTAAGAATATTCGGGGGGGCGCTAGAGAGATGGTTCAGTGATTAAGAGCACTGGCTGCTTTTACAGAGGACCCAGGTTCAATTCCTAGCACCCACGTGGCTGCTAAAAACTGTCCATAACTCCAATTACAGGGGAATCTGATGCCCTCTTCTAACTCTAGGGGCACTGCACAACACTTACATGCATGCAGGCAATACACTTATGTACATAAAATAATAAACAAAATAAAAAAGAAAATAGTTTTTTAAAAAAGAATACCCTGTGCCATCATTCTAATCTTAAACCCAGGGCAATTTCAGTTAGGTAAGCTGCTGCGATAATTCACAGTTGTGAAATGTTTGCCTACCTGGGGAGAACTGTCTACTGTTGTTTTGCTAAATAGACATGTTGTCAAAATACTTATGGTTACAGCCATAGCTTAGTGCTGCTCTCAAATCTGGTCAGAGAAGCTTCTTTTTGAGTGGGTAGCAGTTATTTCAGACTCATAATGGGTCAAAGCACTGAGAATAAGTGACTGTTGAATGTTCAGCCCTAAATAAGACATTTATATCAAATCCTCACCCTGCCAAGGCCCAGGGAACATCTCAGAAGAGGGAGCAGAGTGAAGGTAAGAGCTGGAGGGGAGGACGCTGTGAATTGCGGCCTTCTGGACAGGATGTGGCTGTTGCATTCATGAACTCACAGTAACTGTGGTGGCCTGCACAAGATCAAGCCAGACACCATTTCAGCATGGAGGGGGAGGGTTCACGAGTTCCCACACCTAGCTGAGGATGTGTTGGCAGTTAATGGCTACTGGGGAAAGAAATCTTTTTCTTTAGGGATATAGCCACTGGCAGGTTGCCCATGCTCCAGTGGATGGCGCCACACCTTGTGGGCAGCTCTAACTGGACTTGATGGTTTATTAAAAAGAGAGCGACGTGAAGGTAAGAGGGAGATGTGTTGGGGGACACCTTGGGGGAGTCAATGTGAAAACGATCAGGATATATTTTATGCATGTATGAAATTGCCAAAGAATTAAAATGTTTAAAAATACAATACAATACAATACAATACAATACAATACAATTTGTCTGGAATAAGAAATCATCTTTTGGCCTGAAAATATATAGACTAGGCTGGTATCGATCTCACAGAGATCTGCCTGCCTCTGCCTCCTGAGAGCTGGGATTAAAGGTATTCGCCACCATGCCCAGCTAGAAATCATCTTTGAGTCACAGCTTCACACACCTCATACCATGAATCCTGGGAAAGCATGACATGCCGCAGGAGTGTGCAGGGATTCTCCTCTGGCATTCTTCCACAGAAAACCTTAGCCCACGTCATCCTGTAGACAGGGCATAAGGCTCCCAGCACCTGGTCTCAGGAGCAAGGCCCCCACTGAAGCCACCTACCTCACCTGTGGGCCAGGAGAACTCGCCATATCCAAGCTTCATGTTGAGCCCAAATTCCCCTTGGTAGACGCAGCCATCCTGCCATTCCTGCACCCCTCGGACAAGCTGGATGGAGGCCCCCTTCAGGTCCTGCTCCCTCAGAGGGCCCTCAGATTCCTCATCTTCTTCCCTGGGATCCACCGAGGGGTCCCTGAAAAGACAGAGAGCCGAAGGAAGGGTAACAAAAAAGGCTAAAGTGACTATGTGCTGATCACCAAGCACCACCTCATTTCACCCTCAGGACAAACCCCAAGGCAGGTACTGTTTTCACAGACAGGAAACTGAGGCATAGACAGCGGGGTGATCGCCAGGGTCACACAGGAAATGGACTATGCAGGAAGGGTGAACTGACAAGAGTAAACCTGACCACCCCCCGCCTCCCCACCCGAGGAAGGACCAGTCAGCACTTCCAGCTAGATGTGTCCATTTCCTAGACAGATGTGTCCACAGCAGGGTGCTTCCTCCCAAGCTAGCAGTGCCAGCCCCAGGTCAGGCAGAAGGGAGACACTTGAGCACACACATGGACCCAGGAGAGGTCTTGAAGGGTGGCAAGCTGACATGTGCACAGCTGCAGGACGTATAACATACGGCAGTAGCAATATGCATGTTCGAGGCAGGTTCTATGCCGCCTTCCTACCCTTGGGATTTGAAGGGGTAAGTTGCTATCTAGACATGGATCCCATCCCTGAACTCCCCTCTTGGCCTCCCTCTCAGCACACTGGAGGCCAATTCCAATGTCTGGCTGGTGGCTAGGCTGGCAGCACGCACTGGGAGACCCTGACCCTAACCACCAGTCAGTCCTCAAGTGCCTGTTATGAGTCACTGAGCGGAAGTGCAGCATCTGCCCAATGAAGAAAGAATTCCACTACCAAGAATACAAAATCCACATCTGGTGTATTGTGTAGATGGACAGAAGCCAGAAAGACAGATACCCAAACACAGTCACGATGAGGCTATGGCACTGTTTTGTTTGTTCTTTTGCCTTCCTGTGGTGGGTTAAGTTGTAAATTATTTTATTTTATTCTTTGAGACAGGGTCTCATATATCCCAGGCTAGCCTTGAACTTGCTATGCAGCCAAGGATGACCCTGAACTTCTAATCCTCGTGCCTCTACTTCCCCAGTGCAGGGACTGTAGGTATGCACCACCATGCCTGGTTCATGCAGAGCTGGGGACTAAACAGGGCTTTGTGTATGCTAGGCTCTCTACCAACTGACTACACCCCCAGCCCTGAACTGTAAATCTTTATGTTGCAGCCTTAAACCCCAATAGCTCAGAATGGTCATTACAGAGGTAATTAATCCAAGTGAGGTCATTAGGGTTGGCCCAAGGCCTGTATGAGTGGCAGGCTGTGCTGGATAGCTTTAGTGTCAACTTGACACACCTGGGTTGAGGGAGCCTGAATTGGGGAATTGCCTCTATTGGACTGGCCCGTGGCCATGTCTGAAGGGCATCTTCTTGATGAGTGATGTGGGAGGGCCCAGCCCACTGTGGGTGGTGCCACCCCTGGGCAGGTGATCCCGTGTTGCATAAGAAAGCAGGCTGAGCAGGGGCCAAAGGAGCAAGCCAGTAAGCAGCTTTCCTCCATGGCCTGTGCGCCAGCTCCTGCTTCCAGGTTCCTGCCCTGAGTTCCTACCTTGGGCTCCCTGATGAACTGTGACCTGGGAGATGTAAGATAATATGACCTGGGAGTTTTAAGCTGAATAAATCCTTTCCTCCCCAATTTGGTATTGGTCAGAGTGTTCTGTCACAGCAATGAAGAACAAACTAAGACACAGGCTTAAAAGGGACCACAGAGAAGTGTACCAAGGGACAACGGCATGGACACATAGAGAGGTCAATGCCAGCCAAGGAGAGAGGATGCCAAGCCTGCAGCACCTGGACCTTGGGCTTACGGAACTGTGAGAGGATGGAATGTGTCAGGTGCCCTGCCTGCTGCTTTGTTACAGGGTCCTAGGAAAGGGGCACATCTAGTCTGTGGCTCCTCACTTCCCTCACTTCACAGGACCTCTAGGGCAGTTCCGAAAGTAGCATCGGTGAGTGAGAAGGAAGGAGATCCCACCACAAAGCCCACTGAAAGGTCATTAGAGATGGTCAGGTTGCATAGAAGGGACTTGATCACCTGGCTCTGCCACCCAGCTCCAACTGCTTGGCCTAACTGGACTCCTGGTTGTCTTCGTGGCTCAGTTTCCTCATCTGTGAGATGGGAACTGGGCCTGCTGGGGCAGCTATAGCAAATCCCCCATGTTTACTCCCCCAGTTTCAGGGACTGGGAATCCAAGGTCCGGTGGCCAGTAGGCTGACTCCCCATAAGGGTTCACTCTGGAAACTTCTGGCTGTGAGCTCAGGTGGCAAAGAGGTGAGGAGAAAGACGCAGGCTGATCTCTCATATAGAAGCTCTAGTCCTATCACAAGACCTCACCCTCACAACCTCATTTAAACTTAATCAGCTCCCCCAATCCTCACCTCCAAATCCATCACCTTGGGCTCAGAGTTTCAACGTGAATTTTGAGGTACACAAACATTTTGTCCATAGCAGGGGCAAGCACAGTGTGCACTAGAGGTAAGGCTTTGGGCACCTGGACCAAGCAGCCCCTATTGTTAATAACTGAGCCATGAAACAGGAAGGATCCGGACCTTCCCTTCCACCTCTTCGACGTTATCTGATCTACCCTGGCAGTGGGCTGGACAAGGAAGCACAGGGTCCTGCCACCCGTCACCCATCAACTTTCCCCAGATGGATATAACATTGAAACTTCTAATTTTTAATCTCTTCAGAGACTAGGTTAGGGAGGGTAAAAGAACCCCGAGCGGTTTTAAGGCCTGCCCCAACAGTGGATACCAGCTTACGCTTGGCCCTGGGGTCGCGAGTGAACCTGCCTGTCAGAGGGTCCCGTGGACCTTCTGGCGAAGGTGTAGCTGTCCAGGGACCCCTGGCTCTCGGTGGTAGGAGACTGGCCACCATGTCCGTCCAGCAGACCTCTGGAGCTGAAAACCTTCGAGGGTTGGGAGTCCGGGGTGACTGAGGAATAACCACCGTCCATGTCTCCTCTTCAAACCTAGAAGGAAAGCCGGACTCAGGACGGAGGACAGTGGCAGCTGAGGGGGCCCACAGCCCCACCTGGCTCAGATGACCTTGTTCCAGGTCCCCCAAGGAAACCCCTCTAGCGCCTAAGAACGTCCCTGGCCTTCCCAGAGCAGCCACCACCGGGGGTCCAGCCTGGGCCACTGACCCCGGGGCGCCCCAAGGGGGACACCTCCCCAGCCGTACAGCCCCCACCTCCCTGCCTCCAGGAAGCACCGGTGCGAGAGCAGAGAGGACGCAGGGTACGCCTGGAGTCCTGTTGCCATGGAGACAACCACGCCTACAGCGTGCTCCCAGCCCCCGCCAATCCCAGCGAGGTCGCGCTGGCCCCGCCCCAGGCCCCTGGACAGACCTCCAGATTCCCTACCGGTCTGCAGAGCGGCTAGACTAGCCACGCCCCCAGCCCTGAAGCAGCCAGGGGCCGTCACCGCTTGGTCCAGATTACGCGGGACTCCCGAGGAGGAAGCTGTTCGGGAGAAGCTGGGGTCAAGACTTCTTGATTCCCCACCGCTCCAACAGCCAAGCCCAGTGTCATGGGGGTCTGCACGGCCTGGTCCCGGTGGAGGATGACCTGGGGAGGAGGGGCTTCCTGAACAGGGATGCAGAGGATGCCCAGGATTGAGGGGCTGGACTAGGGTGTTCCCCATGGTGGGAGGATCTGCAGGTATCGAGGCTGGGGCATGAGATGCTCACGTCCAGCACTTCCCATGGCGATTCTTGGGGGCCGAGACAGCTGAACCGGGAGTCTGCACCCCCAGTTCCTCCTTGCGTTTACCGCTGGTCTTGGCCGCTCAGCCCCTCCTATGCACTTTGGTTTCTGGGTCCCTGCTCCAGACCTCAGTCCTCTCACCATCCCTCTGCATCGTGGGAAGCTAAGCAAGGGCGACCCAAGCTGTTCAAGGGTACGGCTTAGTGGTAGAGCACTTACCGAGCATTCAGGAGGCCCTGGGCACCATCTCAGGTGCACCAAGAACGAAAGGCAAAGAAGAACATTCGAACACTTCAAACACCTACAAGCCACACCACCTGCTGTGACTCGCGTCCCCACAAAAGTTGTAAAGTCCTAACTCATATCTGCAAGACCTTTGCGGGGGCGGGGGGGGGGACTTCCCAGAGGTGGTCATGTTAAAATGAGGTCATGCTAGGTTAGGTGGGTCCCAAACCAGACTGTCCGTAAGGGGATGTGGAGACAAAGGGGGAGGGTGAATTTCTGTTGCCTCAAGAGCCCATCCAGGCTTACAACAGCAACCCTGGGAAACACCATTCTGTAGGGAAGACTAAGAGGCCAAACTGGCAGGTTTAACAAGTCTGACAATTTGATCATCTGGTGAGATCTAAAGACTCAAATGTCAAGGAAGAGAAGGCAGGGCCGAGGAGATGGCTCAATTGGTAAAATGCTTGCCAGGCAAGCCTGAGGGTCTGAGTTTGGATCCCCAGGACCCACATAAAAAATCAGGCCACTGTCTCTCACCTGTCATCCCAGCACTGAGGAGAAGGATCCCAGAGAGATGCTGGCAGACCATCCAGTCTGGCTGAATCAGGAAGTTCCAGGTTCAGTGAGAGACCAACCTCAAAATATAAGGTGGAGAGTGATTGAGGAAGACACTTGATGTCAACTCCTGGTGTCCATTTGTATGTGCATACATACATGCACTAGCACACACTAATGCCACAATGGAAGGAAGGGAGGGAGAAATGAAAGGAAGGAAGGAGAGTGAGTTCCAGAAGCTTCTATAAACTGGAATGGGTGTGGTGCTTGGAGGAAGAATGCCCTCCACAGGCTCAAGTACTTGAACACCTGGTCAGCTGGTGGCACTGTCTACAGAGGTTCAGTAGCTGTGGCCCTTCTGGAGGAAGCATGCGACCACTGAGGGCAGGCTTCGGGAGTTCATAGCCCCGGCCCACTTCCGGTTTTGCTCTCTGCTTCCTGCGCAGCATGAAGATGTGAGCACTCAGTCTCCTGCCATCCCTCCCCACCATGAGGGACTCCAACCTCTGTGGAACCGTGAGCCAAATAAACTGTCCCTTCTATAAGTTGCCTTGGTCATGATGATTTATCACATCAACAGAAAAGTAACTAGTACAGTGGGGGAGCAAAACACATGACTCCCCCCCTCCCCCCCACACACACGCACACACAGTGAAAAAGAGAAAGTGTTCTGGAAGCGTCTATATGCCTGGGGGAGGGGCAGCAAAACACAGGACATGCTTCACTTTTGTTTACGTTTATAATTATACTCATATATTCTGAAATTTAGCATACAAAGATTAAAAAGCTGTATTTTTGCAACATGACACAAATGTCACTACCAAACAGGCTCTGAGGCATAGTGGTACATAAGGCTGGAAGTGGGCAAGAGAGCTGCCATGTGGGTGCTGGGACTTGAAGCTGGGTCCCCTGGAAGAATAGCCTGGTGCCTGCCTGTGTCAGTGACTAGCTGAACTCTGTGACAATAGCAGCAGGCTCAGCACACACCCTCAGGTTTGCAGACACCCATCCTGGCAATGCAGACAGCAGATTTGCTGAAAGCAAGTTGGCCTGAGGTCACTTCCCAACTATTAATCTGCTGAATCTGCCAAGTTTACCAATTTACCAAAACCTTTAAAAACTAATGTTGGGCTGGAGAGGTGGTTCTTTGCTCTTGTTTTGGCACACTGGCTTTAAGTAACTTTTCAGATTGACTTATGATGGGTGCAAACCTTTGCACATCTAAAGCCATACCCAGGATGTGGGAAGGCCCTTCTTCCTGGGTCCACCCCATGTTTCTGATTCAGCAGATCTTCAGCAGGCCTGAGCCTGTGGTCAGCTCCCAATGCCTGGCTACCTGATACTGAAAACATTTCAATGTATTTGGGGAAAGAAAAAAAAAAAAAAAAAGCCTTGATTTGTGACTTTATTTTGTTCAATTATAAACATTTCATAAAACTGTTCCAAAGTTTCCACACTGGAACAACTTATTTGGGGCAACCTAAATCCATGTTCCCCAGCCCCAGCTATAATTTGGCACATTCCCTTTGAGGTGAGACGTGTGCTTTGTGATGACATATTCCTTTCTGTCCCAGGAAAGCCAGCTCCTTCCTTAGGGTGGAGAGGGAGATGGCTGCTGGTCAGGCCTCCTTAGAATGGGCTGGCAGCCAGGATCACATGGCTACAGATATCTCAGTGTTTAGCACAAGAGGGAAACCAGGCTGCAGTAATCAAGACCTGGGAGCAGGGAGACTGTGTGGGCACTTCTGTCCTTTGGTCAGATTATGAAGACTGAGCGACAGGGATTGGGGTGTAATGGAAAATGACTTCTGTAGAATGGCTGCAAACCTTTATGAATAGAAATGAACCAAAAACTCATTAAGATTGAAATAGCAATTAATTGCCTGTGGCGCTGAGATAGTGGGGTTTCACTGAAACTACTTCCTGAAAAATATTGGACATCAGAAAATTTGAATGAAGAAGGACTTCTTAAAAACACATAGTCACATGGATACTAATTTTTTTTTTTTTTGGTCTTTTTTTGAGACAGGATCTCCCTGTAGCTCCAGCTGTCCTGGAACTCACTATGTAGACCCGGCTGGCCTTGAACTCACAGAGATCCGCCTGCTTCTGCCTCCCCAGTGCTGGGATTAAAGACGTGCGCCACCACACCCGGCCTAAATCATATTTTTTAATTACATTTTTATTTACAGTGTGGGGAGGGGGTGGCGTGCCTGTGCCACAGAGCCTATGTGGAAGCAAAGAACAACTTGCAGGAGTGGGTTCTCTCCCTCCACTGCGGATTCCAAGGATCGAACACACACACCTTTGCCCACTGAGCCATCTCTGCAGCCTCACTAAATAATTCTAAATGAACTCAAACAACTAATAATTAAGAAAAATAACAAAAGATGGGTGTGGTAGTGGACACCTTTAATCCCAGGACGCGGAAGGCAGAGACTGGAGGAATCTCCGTGAGTTCGAGGCTAACCTGATCTACATAGCAAGTTAAAGGCCAGTCGGGGCTACACAGTAAAACTTTGTCTCAAAAAGAAAACAACAAAGGCAATCCCTGCCTATGAAGAAATGCGGCTAGTGGAAGTTTATTCTACGCGAACAAGGTCTACAACGGAAACGACAGTCGGGATGACAGCATTTAACGAAAGGGAACAAAGCTGTTCTAGCCGGCTAGCCTGGAAGAACCTGGGGGACCCGGGTCATCCTGTGGACCACCACCAGGGGGAGCAGCGGCGCACTCCTGCCTGGGTCAGGCCCCGCCCCCGCCAGCCTAGCCAATGACGAGCCGAGGCCGGAAGGCTCCGCCCCCTCGCGGCCTGCAGCACCCCGCTGACCCTCGGGGGAAGGACCGCGATGCGCGCCACCGAGGCCGTCCCCCGCGCGGGCCCCGAGGCCGCGCCGCCGCCGTTCACGCGTGTGGCCCCCGCGCTCTTCATCGGGAGCGCGCGTGCGGCCGGCGCGACGGAGCTACTGTCGCGCGTGGGCGTCACTCTGTGCGTCAACGTCTCCCGTCAGCAGCCCGGGCCGCGCGCTCCCGGCGTGGCTGAGCTGCGCGTGCCCGTCTTCGATGACCCGGCGGAAGACCTACTGGCGCACCTGGAGCCCACCTGCGCCGCCATGGAGGCCGCGGTGCGCGCCGGCGGCGCCTGCCTGGTGTACTGCAAGAACGGCCGCAGCCGCTCGGCCGCCGTCTGCACCGCCTACCTCATGAGACACCGCGGCCTCAGCCTAGAGCGAGCCTTCCAGGTGCCGCTTCCGGGGGGCCCACGCGGGGGCAGCGCTTCCGGAGGCGGGGCTTATTAGCGTGACTCGCATGGGGCGGACCTTACGGGGGCGGGGCCCACGTGTGTGTGTGGCTCCGTGGGGCGGGCCTTCCGGGGCGGAGCCTACACGAGCAGGCTTTCTGTGGGCGGGGCCCCATGTGACCGACACTTCGTAGGCGGAGCCCACACGGGCCGAGTCCGGTCTGGGGAGAGGTGATCCGGAGTCCCGCCTAGCGGCAAGGGCGGGGGCTCTTCCCCCGGGCCGCCTGCTGGGTCCTGCCTAGCCTTGGCTACCCTCTTGTTTACAGATGGTGAAGACCGCCCGCCCCGTAGCAGAGCCCAATCAGGGCTTCTGGTCTCAACTGCAGAAGTACGAGCAGACCCTCCAGCCCCGGGCGCTCTCGCGCGGGGAGCCCGCCCACCCCGAGTAAGCCTCGCTGTGCAGTGCAGGGTGGCTGAGCGTCAACACGCCGGTCTGCTCTCCCTCCTGCTGGGCTCCCACTCGGCAGCCAGACTCGGGTGCTGCGCCCTCCTACGTCCAGCAGGAGACCGCTGAGCCACCGCCCTCTTTCCTCATCAGGTTCCTTATTCACCAGGCTTTGGCCAGGTACGAACCAGCAAAGCTCTAGGTAAAGAGAAACTGCTTGCAGGAAGATAGAGCCGGGGAATCCAGGACAGAAGATGGGGTGGTACGAACCAGCAAAGCTCTAGGTAAAGAGAAACTGCTTGCAGGAAGATAGAGCCGGGGAATCCAGGACAGAAGATGGGGTGACAGACCCAGGTCCTAGCTGCCTGTGCCTGTGGACGGCCTCCCAGACTTCTCCGTGGCCCCTTCTTGGAACTGAACATGGAGCCTGCTGGCAGGAAGCCGCGAGCCCCCATGTTCATTCTGGCTTGCAGCTGCTGTGCCGAGGAATGGAGGCTTCTGCACCGGTTCCCACCTCCCACCCTAGTAACCCATGTCAGGATGCCTGACCTAGCACCCCCAAGCCACCATCCTGCCCTGTGTGTGGTCCTCCCCAGCTGGAGGGCAGGCCTGTCAGCTGCTACTTTGTGCCCATCCTAGTTGAGACACAGCATCTCCTAGACATCCCCTGTCCTTCAGAGCCCTGGAAAATTAGTCCCTACCACACTCCTTACAGAGGTCCTGAGGGATAAGGAAACCCTGAGCAGATGCCATACACTGGCTAGTGTGTAAATATATGAGCTAGTGAATAAAACCCCACAATTGTAACCCCACAATTGTTTGTGGTTTCCCTTTTCCATCACTTTTCCCTATGTCCTCACCTCAGCTGGTCCACTGTATTTGGGGGTCTGGGTGGCCTGTCTACACCAGCTGCTTCTCCAAGGCTGAGGTCTGTCACACCACCCAACAGAATGGCCCCTGGTTTGCTCCTGAGGAGTCCAGAGGGCATAACCTTGTCTGCCTCCTCTGTACTGGGACATGCTTAAGTTCCAGTTGGAAGCAGGAATGAAGTCCTCTCATTTAACAGAGCCCAAAATTGGGGGTACATGTGAAGTTGGGGGTTCATGAGCAAGGAAGGTACTAGGGTGCCAAGAAGCTGGGCAGCCCCTCCTGCCCCTGCACTCCTGGACCTAATTTCTGGCTGTGAACAAATGAGTCATTGGTTCAGAACACTCTCTACCCCTTGTCGAGCAGCACCCTACCCTACCAATGTCACCATTTGGCACCGTCCATCCAAGGACTGCTGTTCAAGCTGGCTAATACGACTTCTGAGTTTCCTCCCCTAGTTCCTCTCGTACTCATCCCTTCAGAGAACCATTGCCACTGTCCCCACTCAGCCAACAAGGCTACAGTGACTCAAAGAGAATACGACTCCAGACCCAGGTTTTCACCAGCACATGCAGCCAAGGCCTGCTCACAGTACCTTCCATTGGGCCAATGCCCTCTCCGCAGGGCAGGGCATGCTACCTGACCCAACTCACCTTGCAGTGACAATGGAGCTAAGGGTACAAAGCCCAGGTCAGGCTGCAGGACATCTTTGGGGGTATATCAGATACTTTTTACCCCACCAGCTCTGTTCTGGGAGCCATCCAGCTGTGCCTCCAACAATCCCAGCCCTCCAAACCTGTCTCAGGGACAAGATCCTCCTCCTCACAGCTTCCTTTTGCTTTTGCTGCCCTCCCTGCACACTGCAGCCCTGCCCATCTCTGTGCCCTCCTAGGAAGGATAGCCAGGGTCTTGTTCCTATCATGGAGGGAGTCAGCACAGTTTAAGGGGGAAACCCTGTTTTTGCATTAGAAGGCTAGGGCACAGGCAGCATGCCAGATCTGTCTCACTACCCTTGGTGACCAACAGCTAGCGTATGACATTTTCTGTGGAAAAAAATCTGGAATCTGACAGATCAATTGCAGGTTCCTTGCCCTGGTCATGTTAGGGCTGGGCCTGAGAACACAGGGGCAGTCTTGGGGCCTGGGGTGCAATGCTGACTCCCACCACAAAGGGGCACTTCAGACAGCCTGCCAGTGTTCAGGGGACAGATTCTTGGGCTGGGCAGGATGGTGGTCAAGGCACTTGGGGGCTTGGAGTTTGCAGTCTACTGGCTCTGAACGCAAAATGTCCTGTTGGCCTCAGAAGAGCTTGTGCTAGCTCCTCCAGTGGGGAGGCTCACCGCTCCACCCTTTCAGTGTGCAGAAGGGAATGTCACCAGGAAAGAAGGGACAAGACCCCTCTGTTTTGGGGGTATAACTGGGGAGTGGCTCCCTCTAAGTCCTGAAAACAAACTTAATCTCTGCCTCTGAGTGATGGCATGAACCTTAAAGTTCCTGGACAGCTAGAAATGACAGGACTCCTGCCCCAGGAGGGGTCTAATGTCCTGCCAGCTAAGAGGGCACATGGAGGTCTGAGGGGACCAAAGGATCAGAAGCCATGCTTCAGTGCTCAGGCAGCATCTGTGAGGGCTCTCACCCAGCTGCCACTCCCACTTGCGGAGGGAGCGCAGGACCACTGAGCTCCCCGGTGGAGAGATAAAGTGGCACTGCAGTCCCACCACCACTACCAGAGCAGGTGGAAGTGCTACCTCCTGGATGCCCCCCCAGCCCCCAAAGCCCTCCCACGCAGTATCTGTGTCCACCTCTCGACGACAGCACGACACGTCTGTGTCCATAGCTACGCCAGGCGGGGGCACGTTGCTGTGCCAGCCCAGAATGTCCCTCAGACCTACAGCCCGTACGTGCCGCCCAGGGCTGAGCTGTGTCTGTCAGTGTACCTGGCACGCACCTACAACGAAAAGGCGCACCCCAAAACAAGGGGTGTGTGCCTGACAGCTTCTCATGATGGTTAATGTGAATCCAAACAGCCGTACACGCAAGGGCTAAGCACTCGGCAGTCTGAAGGTCCCCGGTGGCTCCGCAGGCCAACCCGCGGGGGTCGGGTCAGCCTCGGGAACCAACACCGCTGCGAACGCCCGGGCAGCCCTCCCGCCGGCCTGCGGAGCGGCGGGGCGTCCCGAGGGACCCGTCAGGCCCGTCCCGGCACCCGGAGGCCGCGAGGTGCGGGGCGCCCTGTTCGGCTCTGACCCGGCTCTGCACAGCGCCCC